AGGCCCTGCTTTATCACACTCAAACATCATGATAATCCAGTGAAACTGATATTATTATATCATTTTCCAGATGAGGAAATTGAGAGTCAAAGAAGTTCTCCAAGTCATATAGCTGGAAAATGGTGACGGTGTAATTCAGATGAGATCTGTATATCTCAAAGCCTGAACCATTCTTCTGGTTTCAGAAACTAAAAACTTTTAGGCTCTGTCCTCTACCTGAACCAAGATGGACTCTATGTAATATGTTTATTGATGTTTAAAGATGACCTGGCTAAAGGTGACTACTATTCTGTGTGTCCTGAAGCAGCTGAGACCAGCGTGTGACTGCCTCAGGGACAGCACACTTGGACAAGAATAAAAAGGCCTAATCCTCGGTGGAGGTTGTGCCAGGCACTGGGGGGGGGGGCAAGGCTGGGCAACCAGCCTGCTGGCCTGCAGGGCCCTGGAGGTCTGAGCAGCCCCTTGCTTTGCCATTTTTGGCCGTGCCAGCTCAGTGAGCAGCACGGTTCCTCAGTCAGGTTTTGAGCCTGGGGCCACTGCAGGGAACGCGCAGAAACCTAACCGCTGGACTCCAAGGGAATTCGTGCCCCTTTGCTAGGCTAACTGCATGTAAAGATGAGCCTTCACCAGGAGGGTCTGAGAGGCCCAGTCTGTCTCCACAGCATCATGGTGGATACTAGCGGTACACTGGGCTTCCCTGGCAGCTCAGACGGTAAAGAATCCTCTTGCAAAGCGGGAGACCTGGCTTCAATCCCCGGGCTGGGAAGATCCCTTGGGGGAGGGCATGGCAACCCACTCCAGCAATCTTGCCTGGAGAATCCCATGGACAGAGGAGCCTGATGGGCTACAGTGCAGGGTCACAAAGAGTTGGACACGACTGAGCGACTAAGCAACGACGCACATGCACACACAGGGCACTGAGGAAATGGGAATTGTGGGGAGGCGGCCCCGAGGACAGCAGGCGGCCCCCACTACAGAGGGCCCCACCACGGCATCTGGCCTGTGGAGAGGCGGCCCCCACTCCTGAGGGCCCCATCACTGCATCTGGCCTGTGGAGAGGCGGCTCCCACTCCAGAGGGCCCCATCACTGCATCTGGCCTGTGGAGAGGCGGCCCCGAGGACAGCAGGCGGCCCCCCACTCCAGAGAGCCCCTATCACTGGATCTGGCCTGGCCTGTGGAGAGGCAGCCCCGAGATAGCAGATGGCCCCACTCCAGAGGGCCCCTATCACTGCATCTGGCCATGACCTCATGCTGTTTGACACCCAGGACCAGGCGGTCAGGCAAGCACGGCTGGCTCCACCACCCTCTCCCATCACAGTATACTTGAGATGTCTTCCTTCCCACCTGTGGTCTCAGTTCTGTTCTCACTCCAAACCAAACAGGAGATGCTCAGTGAGTGGCAGAACATGTTCTATGCCTCAGCATCCAACCTTTTAGTCTTGCTATCTAATTTAGTGCCTGGCTGGTCATTCGTATCACTTTAGGAAATATTTAGCCTCATGGGAATGGAAGTCCTGAGTGAATAGGAAGGAGGAATGATAAATATATTTTCCACGGGGGAAATAAGGAACATGAAAGCTTCAGAACTTAGAGCACTTTTAGGAAGAGTCAATGATGCCCTAAATTATACACCTAGGAGAAATGAGGAGGCTAAATACAGAAGTTATTCTGAGGGAGATTGGAGGGTGAGTCAGGTAGACCACTGACTTGGCAGATGGAAGGTGGGGGTGGCAGGGAAGTGGAATTTCTTTCTCTTTTCACCACCTATGCAAAGTTCCTCAAATGTTGATGAGATTCTGAAGCTTGTGAAAATGGAGCTTCATGGGCCCTACCCTTAGAGCCCCTAACTGCCCTGCTGGGGTAAGCCTCTAGCACGTTTGTGTCCCCGGGCACAGCACAGTATTCACATCACTTGGTCTGAAGATCAAACCCTGAGAATCACTGCTGTCCTGTGATCTGACAGGTGTGTCACAGATTTAAAAAAATAGTAATAATTTATTTTTCGCTGTTCTGGGTCTTGCTGCTGCACTGGCTTTCCTCTAGCCATGGCGAGCAGGGACTACTCGCCAGTTGCGGCGTGCAGGCTTCTCATCTCAGTGGCTCCCCTGGTTTCAGAGCACCGCTCTCGGGTGCACAGCCTTCAGCAGTTGCGGCATGTGGGCGCAGCAGTTGAGCTCTCTAGAGCACAGGCTCACTACCTATGGCACTCCAGCTTGGCTGCTCCTGCGCATGAGGAATTTTCTCAGACCAGGGATCAAACCTGTGTCTCCTGCATTGGCAGGAAGATTCTCTACCGCTGAGCCACCAGGGAAGCCCCTATATCAGACTTTTAGAAGCTGAGTAATGATTCAGAGAGCTATCACTCACAATTTGAGAGCAGTTACCAATAAATCTCTGAGAAAAAAAGATTGTTTTGCTTACTTCTAACCTCTCCTTTCAGAGAAGGCAATGGCACCCCACTCCAGTACTCTTGCCTGGAAAATCCCATGGACGGAGGAGCCTGGTGGGCTGCAGTCCATGGGGTCGAGAAGAGTCGGACATTACTGAGTGACTTCAGTTTCACTTTTCACTTTCATGCATTGGAGAAAGGAATGGCAACCCACTCCAGTGTTCTTGCCTGGAGAATCCCAGGGACGGGGGAGCCTGGTGGGCTGCCATCTATGGGGTCGCACAGGGTTGGACACCACTGAAGCGACTTAGAAGCAGCAGCAGCAGCAGTAGCAGCAGCAGCAGCAGCAGCAGCCGCCTCTCCTTTTAAAGCCTGAGTGTCGGACTTCCCTGGTAGCACAGTGGAAAAGAACCTGCCTGCCAATGCAGGGGACACAGGTTCGATGCCTGGTCCGGGAAGATTCCACATGCCTCGGAACAACTAAGACTGGGTGCCACAACTATTGAGCCTGCATTTCAGAGCCTGAGCTCTGCAACAAGAGAAGCCACAACAGTGAGAAGCCTGAGCACCACAACTGGAGAAAGCCCTTGCACAGCAATGAAGATCCAGTGCAACCAGAAATAAAGTTATTAAAAAAAAAAAAAGCCTGAGTGTCTTTACCCTATATCCACATTTATCCCTTTCCCCACCTGAAGAAGGTGTGGCTTTATTACAGAACCATGTCAATGCAGTGTTTTTAAAGTTTGTGGGGAGGCAGCGTTATTGGGCAGGGGTAAAGCTGCTAAACTAAAGGGTGGATGTGACCAAGGGAGGGGGAGCTGCCTCCCGTAGCTACGCTGTCAGTGTTAAGCTGTGGTCCAGTTGACTCTGCTCAAAGGGAAGGCCCAAGCAACACTGCTGTCCTCTGCAGGTGTACCAGCCCAGACAGGACAGCCTTGGCAGTCAGTCATTTTCTGGATGCCAAATAGAGCAGAGGGAACATCTCTGAGTCCAAGGGATAGCAAAGCACTTCATACAGAGGGCTTAATTTGACTCTTTTTCCAAACAAACAAACAAAATAACAGCTCGATCTTTTCCTTCCCCAGGAATAGGACAAAAGGAAAAGTCGGTATTTGTGAAGTGGTTCTCATGTAAGTGTCTATTTTAGTGGAAACAGATAACAAGTTCATGCTGCAGGAGAAAGCTACCCCTCCCCCAACACTGGAGTGGCGGATGGAGGCAGAAGCACTGTTGCCTCTCCACCCCACCCTCTGGGCCCCGCTGCAGCTCTAACCCCAGCTGTGTGCTGGACTGAGGGCAGTTTCACACAGGCAGTGCCCAAGAGCAGGACGAAGGGTCCCGCAGAGGGGGCTGTATTTTCTGCTGGCAGATTCATATAGACTCAGTCTTCACTCTAGGGAAGAGTCAGCATCTCAAGTTGGAAAAAAGAAGGTATGGTAGTACCGCCTTTGAAGGGAAGGGCACCTCTGAGTGCTGGAAGCTGCAGTGAATTGGGAGTTGGTCTACCTTGCCCCTTCTCTGGCACTGCCAATGTGAACTCACACGCCCTTGAGAAGGCAGTGCCCTTAACAATAGCTTGTATGCATAGTTGGTTCTCTGCATCTGCAGTTCAGATTCTACCAACTGCCAATGGAAAATATTTGAGAAAAAAAATTTCAGAAAGTTCCAAAAAGGAAAACTTGAACTTGCCAGCAACTGTGTACATAGCATTTAAATTGTATAGCTATTGTAAGTAATCTAGCGATGACTGAAATTATATGGGCTGCACGTAGATTATATGCAAATACTATGCCACTTTATAGGGTGTTCCTCATAGCTCAGGTGGTAAAGAATCTGTCTGCAATGCAGGAGACCTGGGTTCGATCCCTGGGTTGAGAAGATCCTCTGGAGGATGGCAAGGCAACCTGCTCCAGTATTCTTGCTTAGAGAATCCCATGGAGTTGCCTGGTGGGTTACAGTCCATGGGGTCACAAGGAGTCAGCTATGGCTGACATACTTTACCTTTATCTTTGGTGAGGAAAGGGTTACAAAGAACCAAGCAAATAGCTTTGGGCCCTGGAATAGTTTGTCCATTACAAAACATCGTCCATTACAAAAAATTACCATCATCCACTCTTTGCCTGCCCCATTCCCTGCCCACATTTGAAAACTCCCTGGTGGGTCAGATGGTAAAGAATCTGCCTGCAATGCAGGAGACCTGGGTTCGACCGCTGGGTCGGGAAGACCCCCTGGAGAATGGAATGGCAATCCACTCCAGTATTCTTGCCTGGAGAATCCATGGACAGAGGAGTCTGGTGGGCTACAGTCCATGGGGTAGCAAAGAGCTGGACACGAATGAGTGACTAACACTTCATGCCACTTTATACAAGGGACTTGAGCATCCCAGATTTTGGTAACCGTGGGGGTCCTGGAACAAATCCCTCATGGATACTGAGGGATATATATAACAAGAGAGGGTTAGATTTGCTATCTCCAAGGCCCATGGAATCAGATTAGAAGTTCAGTGAAATGCTCTTCGTAGGCCTCAAATAAGCACTGTTAGGTTGCATTATCTACAGACGAGCTCTGTTTTAGCACGGCATGAGGGTGTGTCAGGTACTTCAGCGTTACCTGTCGTGTCTCAGTATAGGCGTAGGCAGCACGCTTGTCAGGAGCCATCCAAACTCAGCCAGAGTGTGCAGCAGAGGACCGTAATCTGTCTTGATTTCACAGCCCTGCGTGAATAAGCACAGAGCTCACAGTCTAAGGGCAAAGACGGTAAGTGTGCTGACGGTGCTGACAGTAAGGGCGGGGAGTGTTGGGATAAGCGGCGTTCACGCTCCATTAAGGGCAGCTTCACCAGTCTTCTTTTCTGCTTCCTGCTGCTTCCCGACCATTCAACCAGGCTGGAAACCCTGGGGATCTGAGTGGAGGAGGTTCTCTAAGGTTTGGGCCTTCCTTCCCTAGGTCTTGTTTGGGCATCAAACTTTAATGTATAGGGTGGGGGCTAGGAATTTGCATTTTAAAAAGCTCCCTGGGTGATCTGGATCCAAGGAGAGTCCACACTTTCAGAAACACTGGTCTAGGGCCTGGGAAGTGAGGACTGGAGTAGAGAGTGAGCATTGAGGAGGTGAGAGGAGCAAAGAATGTTCACTTCTTTTCACTCACTTGGAGTTGATTCTTACTTGGAGTTTTCCTCTTATCCCACATCATTGTGTCCCACCTCAATGGGGTTTCCAGTTTCCTTGATAATGGCCTATGTCTCTCTAAGCTTGGCAAGGCCAGAAAGACGAAAGTGTCCTTGAGAGAGGCTGTCAGTGAGGGCCTCACACACCAGCAAATATAGCTGAATTCAGTCTGTACACCTCAACGGCAGTCCATTTGGTGACACCTGAATTCAGAGCGCACAATGCTGACTGCAAAGTCACCTCTTATTAGGAAGGACAATGCTGTGTGTACACATTTGGTCTGGTGAGAGAAAGAATACCTTGGGATATTTTTGCCTTTGAAAGTCAATTCACAGGGTGAAAAAGTCAGTCACATTGGTTGCTCAAAGACAAAACTGAATTTGTTTTCACTTTCATCCAGTTGTCTTGGCATTGTGTACAGAGAATCTCAGTGCCAGGGATGTTGTTTAGAATCAGAATGTCGAACGTTTGGGAATCTACTGCTATTTATGTATAATTATTTTGCTATCTTTAAACAAATCTGAACATTGAGTAAAACAAATCACCTTTTCCCAAATTAGCAAGAAGTTTGTTCAAGTATTTGTGATGAAATTCTGAACACTGAATAAACATGTGTTTGAAGAATATTGTCTGTGTTAGGCAATGAAGATCTAAATGTAAAACTCAATATAAAAGTAAAGCTAAATTATAAAAAAACTGCAGTTTACCTCAATAACTGTCCATTGTTCTACTACGATGGCATCATTTCCTTTCCTGCTGAAACCTGGTACTCCAGAGCCTTCTTCTTCATAGATAAAGAATCCTTCCAAAGATTTTGACAAGTGATCCCCTGTGAGGAAAAAGATACAATTAAGGAGAGTTGCACATTTTCAGTGTCTTTTCAGATCATCTAAAATGTTAATAAATAACCCTTAGGGGAAGCTGAAATAAAAATATATAAATTAATAAATACTTGTTTTAGGTGAATCTATGACATTTCCCTTCTCTTTGAGGTAATTTCTTTCTTTTTTTGGGAAAAGTTAAGACAGTTTTATACCTAACTGAATTAAAATCAAATTGTAAACACGAAGACTACAATAACAAACACAAGATAAAATAATATCATACAATGAGAAGCAAATGGATTTCTTAAGCCTAAAAACATCTGTAAATCACCTTCACCTGGAAATCAAATGCTGGTTTCTGCTCTACATGTTGTGTGCATGTCAATCATACCACTAAGAAAAATGGCATCAAAATTATTAATCCTTGAAATTACAGGTGTGATATCAAAACCAAGGTGAGGTAAGATTATTTTAAAAAATATGAATACAGAACAATTCTTTGTTTCAATGATGCTTAACAAAAAAAAGAATGGTAACAGGAAGATCCTAAACAGAAGTCATTGTCAAAAGAATTCCTGCTGGGAAGGAAGTTTGAGGGAGGGCCTCTCTGACATTTTTTGAACAGTTGACAATAACCAGCTGGCCAAAACTAAACTGATTTTATGGAAATTCTTTTGTCTCCTACTTAGCAGTAGGAGGCAATTTTCCCATGATCATGTGCTGGTTAACCATTTTGTTTTTATACTGCACAATGTCACATCAAAGTTTCCCTGATGGACAATTATCCAAATAATAACCTACAAAGTTTTCAAAACATCTATTAAGCTTAAAGACCAAAAAACAAACAAACACCAAAGTAATTCAAATGTAATTTTCAGCTTTCATTTTTATTAATGAGCTATAAAACTTTAAGAGAAAATCACTATTACTATTTTTATATCAGTTTGGGCAGAATAACATGAAGAATTTACTTTGTTCAGCATGGTTCCCAAAACCCAGTAAAGTTTAATTTACTTGTTGAAATTGCTATTCTAACTACAGTATATGTTCCACTTCCTTTAAATGTACTTGTCTACTGTCATACCAAAGTGACGCATAGAATTAAACCTGTTTTTGATCATCAGTTTAGAGCATCACAAGAACATCTTTAAAATTGTATATTTGCCTCAAGTCCTTTTTTAGAATAGGGGTATGAATTTTAAGAATAATTATATACTGTGATAATTATGTAGTTAATAGTAATATTTTCTTATTTACTTTAGGATTATATAGTTGGAGAACTATGGGTTTTGTGGTGTCTGTTTTCCTGTTCTCAGTATTGAGATTCCATAGTACTTCTAAACTTCTTTTGGTTTAAAAGAATGAAAATGTGGTAGACTCACACATTGCAATACCAAAAAGAATAAAAAAGAAAGACTCACTGGAATACAACAACATGGATAANGGAAAAAAAAAACCCCTAAATTTAAACCACATGCTTGGAATTACAGTCCCAGTTTTATTTCACCTCAGTTGCTGATTCTTGTTAGACCTATCAGCCCTCTTCAAAATTAAGACTCACAAATACTTCTTGTAATTTTCTGTTCTTTCCAAATGCAAAACACTTATTTTGTTTTTATAGGCCATTAATTTTTCTTTCCTTTTTTTTTTTTTTTTTTTTTTTTGCCTTTTACCCCTCAATATTGAGATATAGTTGATATATAAGGAAATGTTCTGTATCTTGAATATTTGTGTTCTATTCAGCTATATGCATATTAATACATCTTGTTCTACGTATCTTATAATTTCAGTTAAAAACAAAAGACATTCCTTCTCACTTTAGAGTTCCTCAAGTCCCCTGGCTAAGCTTTCTTAGGGACCATGCTGGTCCTCAGAGACACAGAAGAATGATACTTCCCAGAAGGGACTATTTCTATCTCTTAAGAAACTCTCCCTGACAGAAGTGGCAGCTGGGGAGGGTGGCAGGGAAGGCCTCATGGGGAGTGACCATTGGGGTGCTTGGTGTGTTATATTCCAGGTATTGGGATAAGGTGACAATTCTGAACAATTGCTTAACAACTGTCCTGAACTGACTCATCTCTTAACAGCATGAATCTCATACCTTCCCACACTGTGTGCCTGGGCCCACTGGTGTGCTCAGAATGGGGTTCATATGAGCTAAGGTACAGGGCACCCCCTCCTGCCCAAAGCAGCTTTTCTTCTTATATCCATGTGTCCTACAATATTGTTGTTGTTCAGTCGCTCAATCGTGTCTGACTCTTTGTCACCCCACGGACTACAGCATTCCAGGCTTCCCTGTCCCTCACCATCTCCCGGAGCTCAAACCCATGTCCACTGAATCGGTGCTGCCATTCAACCATCTCGTCCTCTGTCATCCCCTTCTCCTCCTGCCTTCAACCTTTCCCAGCCTCAGGGTCTTTTCTAACAAGTTGGCTCTTGGCATCAGGTGGCCCAGTATTGGAGCTTCAGCTTCAGAATCAGTCTGTTCAATGAATATTCAGGATTGAATTCCTTTAGAATTGACTGGTTTGATCTCCTTTCAGTCCAGGGGACTCTCAAGGGTCTTCTCCAACACCACAGTTCAAAAGCATCAGTTCTTTGGCACTCAACCTTTTTTATGGTCCAACTCTCACATCCAAACATGACTACTGGAAAAACCACAGCCTTGACTATACGGACCTTTGTTGGCAAAGTAAAGTCTCTGCTTTGTAATATGCTATTTAGGTTTGCCATAACTTTTCTTCCAAGAAGCAAGTGTCTTTAAATTTCATGGCTGCAGTCACCATCTGCAGTGATTTTGGAGCCCAAGAAAATAAAGTCTCTCACTGTTTCCATTGTTTCCCCATCTATTTGCCATGAAGTGATGGGACCGGATGCTGTGATCTTAGTTTTTTGAATAATGAGTTTTAAGCCAACTTTTTCACTCTCCTCTCTCACCTTCATCAAGAGGCTTTTTTGTTCCTCCTTGCATTCTGCCATAAGGGTGGTGCCATCTGCATATCTGAGGTTATTGATATTTCTCCCAGCAATCTTGATTCCAGCTTGTGCTTCATCCAGCCTGGCATTTCTCATGATGTACAATATTATCATCTTCTATGTGTGCAGAGGGCTTCTCAGGTGGCTCAGTGGGCAAAGAATCCGCCCACAGTACAGGAGACACAGGTTTAGTCCCTGGGTTGGGAAGATCCTCTGGAGGAGGGCATGGCAACCCACTCGAGTACTCTTGCCTGGAGAATCCCATGGACAGAGGAACTTGGCAGTCCACAGTCCATAGGATCGCAGAGTTGGACACGACTAAAGTGCTTGAGTGTGCATGTGTGCATACTATGAAAAAGTTACAAAGAACTGACCTGATCCACTGCTTCTCAATTTTCTTTTCTGGCCTTGTGAGTAACATGTGAGATCTCAGTTTCTCCTGACCTGGGACAGAACCTGTGCCCTCTCAGTAGAAACACAAGTCTTAACCACTGGCCTGCCAAGGAAGTCCTGTGGTTAGCTTTTAAGAATGGGGAAGATGTCCATTTTGCTCATCAGTATAAACCCTATGTGCCAGGCCTAGGGCCTGGTGTGTATATATATACATATGGGGTTTCCCTGGTGGCTTAGCAGTAAAAAGTCTGCCTGAAATGAAGAAGACTTGGGTTCAATCCCTGGGTCAGGAAGATCCCTTGGAGGAGAGCATGGCAACCCACTTCAGCATTCTTGCCTGGAGAATCCCCGTGGACAGAGGAGCCTGGCGGGCTGCAGTACCTGGGACTGCAAAGAGTAGGACACAGTGGAGCAACTATGCACAGTAGCACATACGTACATACATACATACATACATGTGTATATGAAATGAATACATACACATTTCAGTGTCATGACTCTATACCCTACTTCTCATCCTGATACATCTCCAACTCCACACAAGCATGTTTATAGGAGTGAAGAGACTGAAATGACTGTCAAGTGGAGTCTGAAAAGAATCCACAGAACATGAAAATGTAGCCTTCAGGTGTGGGTGTATCAGAGGTAGGCAGAGGCTGTGTTCTGAGGGTGGCAGGCGCTGGCAGGCTAGTGAAGTGTAGTAACCCCAAGGGCTGTGTCGTGTGTGGTGGTGTGTTCTGTACCAGTGGGCAGAGTTGGCCATCTCATCCATGTCAGCTGCCCGCTGGATCTCTGCATGTTCTGGTGGAATAAAGTGCTTTGTCTCTGTTGGCATAACTGGATACGCCTCTTGCAGGCTCCTCTGGGTTCATTTGGGAGTTGTAAGTGTGCAGAGAACCCAGCTGCAGGCCAGTTTGGAGAAGGCCAGATGCTGGAGAAGGTCAGGAACAGGAGAAGGTTATGCAGTGAGACCCTCGGGCCACAAGAACAGCAGGAGGGTCCCTGGGTGCCCCTGTGTGTGGGACTTTTCAAAACAGAAAAGGCTTCGAAAGTGAGTGGGGAAGGGCACTGAAGAGGAATTTCACAGACCTTACAACATTTCCACCATGACTTACCTGACTTAAATTTTTTTCTCCCACTTCTCTCTGTTTATGGAGAAGTTTATAGAATGAGATTTGTGGAGTAATATATTTAAATTTCTGAGCAATATCTGGTTTTGTACTTCTCCTCATGTGTGGGCTGGCTTCTGACAGTATTTTGGAAGAGGATGGAAGCAAGACAAAACAAAATATGCATTGTCCCCTGCATGCTTTGGATGTCAGGCATCAGATGTCCTAGGACAAAGGGGCCGATTCGGCCCCGCTTCCTCTGGCTTGCTTCTCATGGTGACGCGGGCACGGATCACAATTTCCCCTCCACAGCTTCCCTGTCTGCTCCCAGGAAAGTCCCGAGTGACACACCCTGTCGCCAGACCTTACAGACCACGGCTCATTAGGGCTTGGCATGGCCTGCAACGCAACACGCCTAATGAGACATTCCCGAGCTGCTGACAGGGAGGGACTCTCCCTGGGGCTCTCTAAATAGCTTCTGAGGCTTTGAGAACAAAGGCCCTACAGAGCCTCTGGCTGGCAACTGCTGTGGCTAATTTTATTTCCACCAGCAAGGCTCAAGGCAGGGATGCCTGAAAGACATTGTGAAAGGAGGATTTCTTTGTCTTTCCTTCAGCAATTAGTCATAATCCAAAATTTGGAATGGCTCTCTAAAGTTTTTCTTGGCCACATTACGCAGCTTGCAGGATATCCTAGTTCCCCGACCAGGAATGGAACCCAGGCCTTGATAGTTGAAAGCATGGAGTCTTAACCACTGGACTGCCAGGGAATTCCACAATCCCCAGCCCCTTTTTTGAATGGCTCTAACTTAGACTCTTTGGAGGGAAGAGCAAGACATAGACACACAGAGAGAAATATGTGAAGCATAAACTGACCTCCAAACAGCTGATTCATACTAAAAGTATTGTAAGAACATCTTGTGTCAGGAGAGAAAACCCATCCCAGAAAATGAACTCTGACAGTGGGTGAGGCACTGTGGGAGTCACTTTGTACATAGTATATCTTACCAAATTCTCACAACAGTTAGTAGAAGTGTTTTTACACCCCTTTTAGGAAACTGAGGCTCAGTTAGCTCAGCTAACTTTCCCAAGTCACACAGCTCTAAGTAGAAGACAGAATTTAAACTCTGTTTAAATCCTAAAGTCCACAGGCTTTATATCAGATCTGGCTGTTTCCATAAAAGATCTACTTGGAAGAAGTTTCCAATAACCAAAAATACTATTAAATATTTATTGAGTACTTGTTAAGTGCCAAACACTATCCAAGGGGATGTACTTTGGGGTGCTCCAATGAGCTAGATCCTTACTCTTGCTTATTAGTTAAAGGGACCTATTGGAACATGACTTGACAATTTTAAATAACCAGTCTTTAGTTGTATTAGTTAAGGCATCACTAGGCTGATCTAATAATAATGAGGTTTATTGAGATCTCATCTGGTTTGCTTTTTCATTCCTCTCCCTAACCTCAGTGAATCACAGTCCCTAACTATCCTGATCTGCATAAACTCCATCCTTCCTAATGCATTTTTCCAGTCTCCTTACTATCTTTTTTTCTTTTCTTTTAGCACTAATCTCTTAAAAAGAAAAAAAAGACCAACAAAAAATGCTTTTCTTAGAAATAATTTTTGGAAAGTTTTGCTTGTTTTTGTGATAGACAAATGATTACATATCCACTGTAACTAAAAGATTAGAGAAGAAAGATAAGGGAATGGCATACATAAATATAGATCATTTTCTGAACCAAAGTTTACTTTTCTATACAAATTTTAGGAGGAGTCGGGTTTAGAGAGGAAGACAAGGTAGGTAGTATCCAAAACTGGGCTGCTGCTGCTAAGTCGCTTCAGTTGTGTCCGACCCTGTGTGACCTTATAGACGGCAGCCCACCAGGCTCCCCTGTCTCTGGGATTCTCCAGGCAAGAACACTGGAGTGGGTTGCCATGTCCTTCTCCAGTGCATGAGAGTGAAAAGTGAAAGTGAAGACGCTCAGTCGTATCTGACTCCCAGTGACCCCATGGACTGCAGCCTACCAGGCTCCTCCGTCCATGGGATTTTCCAGGCAAGAGTACTGGAGTGGGTTGCCATTGCCTTCTCTGATCCAAAACTGGGATAGTGTAATAAATTTGGATAGTAATTGTTAAATGCCATCATATGCCTCCTGACTGGGCTGCTATAGTACCTCTTACTAGTTGATCACATCGAGGTTTGTCTATTTCTGATAGTTACAACCCAACAGCAAACATTACAATAGTACCACACAGGATTGTTAAGATTTTATATTAAAGTTGCATGTGCAATTGCCAAATTCAGACTTAAATTGAAGAAAGTGGGGAAAACCACTAGAACATTCAGGTATGACCTAAATCAAATCACTTATGATTATACAGTGGAAGTGAGAAATAGATTTAAGGGACTAGATCTGATAGACAGAGTGCCTGTTGAACTATGGACGGAGGTTCGTGACATTGTACAGGAGACAGGGATCAAGACCACCCCCAAGAAAGGAAATGCAAAAAAGCAAAATGGCTGTCTGAGGAGGCCTTACAAATAGCTGTGAAAAGAAGAGAAGTGAAAAGAAGAGAAGTGAAAAGAAGAGAAGTGAAAAGCAAAGGAGAAAAGGAAAGATATTCCCATTTGAATGCAGAGTTCCAAAGAATAACAAGGAGAGA